GGGGTGGGCTTGGCAGGCGCAGCCTTCGCAGGCGACTTCTCTCGAGGTCGGAGAGGGGTGTGGCGTAAAGGTGTATGGTGCCGATCGTAGAAATGGCGGTGCATCTGCGATAGATCACATCGCCAGGGTCCCCTTCACCTCAAATCAACACCACACCTCTTTACACCATAACCCCCTTTTTCAAGCAGTGGCGAAGCGTCCTGGCTCGCCTATAGCCCCACCAAACAATGTTCTAAGAACCTTTCGTGGTTCCCACGAAATGTTCTTAGAACATTTCTGGTTGGGACTGTCTTGTTTTCTCACATCGGGTTTATGCTCTAAGAACATTGCTTTTGTTCTTAGAACATGTTTGGGTTCTAAGAGCATTTCGTGGTAGGACTATAGGAATGCCCAGACGGTCGGTCCCTGCTCAATTTTTCAACCTCCAGAATTTCACCTCCGATCCCCGAGTTCCACCCGGGGAAACCTCGGGATTTACACATACCCCCTGGCGCGCCCCCGTCGAGGACGCACGCCCGACCGTAATTTTATCTCCCGGGGGTTGGGCCCCAAAATTCATGGCCCGTGCGAGGACTTTTCCCAGAAGCGCCTGGGATAGGAATTCGACGTATATCCCCTGCCACGCCCTCCGCCTCCTCCTTCTCCTCCTCCTCCTCCTCCTTCTCCTCCTCCTCCTCCCCCTCCTCCTCCTCCTCCTCCTCCTCCTCCTCCTCCTCCTCCTCCTCCTCCTCCTCCCCCTCCTCCTCCTCCTCCTCCTCCTCCTCCTCCTCCTCCTCCTCCTCCTCCTCCTCCTCCTCCTCCTCCTCCCCCTCCACCCTCCCCCCTCTCCTCCTCCCCCCCCCATCCCCCTCATCCTCGTCCCCTCTCCTCCCCCCCCCTCCTCCTCGTCCCCCTCGCTCCTCCTCCCCCTCCTCCTCCTCCTCCTCCTCCTCCTCCGCACGCTCTCCTCCTCGTCCTCCTCTCCTCCTCCTCCTCATCCTCCTCCTCCTCCTCCTCCTCCTCTCTCCTCCTCCCCCTCCTCCTCCTCCTCCTCCCCCTCCTCCTCCTCCTCCTCCTCCTCCTCCTCCTCCTCCTCCTCCTCCTCCTCCTCCTCCTCCTCCTCCTCCTCCTCCTCCTCCCCTCCCCATCCCCTCCCTCCTCCTCCCTCCCCGCCCCCTCCTCCTCCTCCTCCGCCTCCTCCTCCTCCTCCTCCTCCTGCCCCCCCCCTCCTCCTCCTCCTCTCCTCCCCCTCCACCTCCTCCTCCTTCTCCTCTCCCTTCCCCTCCTCCTCCTCCCCCCCCCTTCTCTTCGCCTCCTCGTCCCCCCCCCGCTTCCCTCCTCTTCAGCCTCCTCCTCCTCCTCCTTCCCTCCTCATCCTCCTCCGCCTCCTCCTCCTCCTCCTCCTCCTCCTTCCCGTCCGCCTCCTCCCCTCCCTCCTCCCCCTCCACCCCGCTCCCCCTCCTCCCCCTCCCCCTCCTCTTCAGCCTCCTCCTCCTCCTCCTCCTTGGAGCAGCGGCAGAGCCCGCAGCTGGTGCCACGGGGGGAGGACGGGTGGGTGGGTGGGTGGACCGCACGCCATGGCAATGTCGGATCCAGAAGTGCAGCGCCTCCTCCCCTCCTCCTCCTCCTCCTCCTCCTCCGCCTCCTCCTCCTCCTCCTCCTCCTCCTCCTCCTTCCTCTTCCTCCTCCGCTCCTCCTCCTCCTCCCTCCTCCTCCTCCTTCCCTCCTCCTCCTCCTCCTCCTACCTCCTCCTCCTCCTCCTCCTCCTCCTCCTCCTCCTTCCCTTTCTCCTCCTCCGCCTCCTCCTCCTCCTGGACCTTGACCCGCTGGAGGAGCGGCAGCCCGACGACTGGCCAGGCGAGGCGAGGGGGACCGGCGCCGGCGTGGGGGTCCTCGGAGGAGGCGGCGCGGGGCGGGGGCCCCGCGAGAGGGGCGGCGGGGCGGCGGGGGGGGGACGCGGGGGGGCACGGGATCGCGTGAAGTCGGGCTTGTCCCCCCACAGGAGGAGTGCTCTGCAGCAGTTGGGCAGATCGGCTGGCGACGATGTGCCGCGCGCTTCTGTGGCCACTTTCGGCGACGTTTGGCGTTTCCCCCCCCCTCCGCAAGAAGTCCGTATGTAGGAGGACGTGCCCGACCTGAGGCTTGCGGCGAGCGGCGGGGGCGAGGCAGAGGGGGACGAGGGCGGGCGGGGGAGGAGCAGCCTGGCATTGCTCGGACGTGCGCATTTGTTCTCGGTGAGGGCAATCGAGGAGCATCCAGTCGGCGGCGAGCCCAGGGGGGGGAAGCGAGAAGGGGCGGACGTTCTCAGAAGACTCGGAAGTCCCCAGCCTTCTGATAAGTTTTCTAAGCCTTCCCAGAAGACAGACCAAAACCTCTCAGAATGCGCGGGGGCTTCTGAGAAGTCCCGCCGCCGTCTGAGAAGGCATGCTCCTTCTCTCTGCCCGCCCTCGCTCGCCGCCTATCCTTGGATCATCCTGCGAAAAGAAGAAGCGCACGGAACCGAAGAGCGCACGGGAGAGTGGACGTCCGAGCGATGCCGAGGCAGGGCGGCGAGCAGGACGGCGGGCGAGTGCGAGGGCGGTGCGGGCCAGGGGCTGCCAAATCCGTGGCTGCTAACATCGACCTCCGGGAAGTTGTCTTCGTCCCTCCGGGGAGGAGCCCGTGGACTGCTCCGCGTGCCGCGCCTCCTTCAGGGGAGTGGTTCTCTTCCTTCCGGGAGGGCCGTTTTGGCAGCCACGGTGTTATAGCAGCCCTCGCCCAGCTTCCCGGAGCGCCGTGGTGCCCCGCCAGGTCCCCGCCCGCCGCGCCCGCCGGCGGCTGCAGCGAGGGCTCCACGCCGCGGGACCGCTTCCACGGATGAGGGGCCCGCTTTCCACCGCCACCAGAAGTTGGAGGGGGAGGGGGTCTTCCTCCCTCTCCTCCTCCTCCTCCTCCTCCTCCTCCTCCTCCTCCTCCTTCTCCTCCTCCTCCCGTTTCTCGTCCTCCTCCCCCTCGTCCTCCACTTTCTCCCCCCCTCCAATTTATGGTGGTGGTGGTGGAACACAGGCCCATCAATGGAGGGGGGGACAGGCGGAGGGGCTAGAGAACACGGCACGGCTGTTGGTTTTGCCAGCCGTTGGAGTGGCCACCTCGCGGGTCGCCAGGCGTTCGCGAATGCTCGACGTCATGTGTGATTTCTCGACTGGGGCGCCCTCCGCCTCCTCCCTTCCCCTCCAGCTGGCCGTAAGTCGGGCCTGCCGTTCTACAGGAGGAATGTTCAACCAGAGTTTCAAAACGTAGTCTGGGGACGACTTGTTTGTGTTGTATGTCTTATTGCTCATTGGGTATGGTTGGAATGTGTTTGATGGTTCGTCCGGAATCCGCCTGTAGGAGGACTCGCCGGGCCGAAAGCTTGCCTCGCCCTCTCTCCCGAGAGAGCCCTGGCCACGTGCCTCCATCCGCGCAACCCTGCACAGGAGGGGCTGCGGCTGCCGCCGCCCTCGAAGAAGAAGAAGAAGAAGCACCGGCATAAAGTTACGTCGGGCATGTCCCTCTACAGGAGGAATCTTCAACAACAGTCCGAACATAAAACGGAGACGATGTCCGACTATTTCCCAACCATCCTCCTCTCCTCGTCTCCTCGTTTTGAAGAGACAGCGCCCCGCGTCTCCTCTCCTCCTCTCCTCTCCTCCTCCTCCTCCCCCTCCTCAACCCGCCTCCCTCCTCCCATCCGCCTTGTCGCTTTTCCGCGTTTCACCCACCCATGACAGCGCTTCGTGGCCCCATAGGGAGCTCCACCGAAGGCCTCAGTGGCAGGGATCGCATGCTTCCCCCCGCCCACTTCGGCACGCCCCTCACGAGGATCGTGGCCGCATAGGGAGCTCCACCGAAGGTCCCAGCGGCAGAGTTCCTATGCGTCCCCCCGCCCATTTCGGCACACCCTCACGAGGATCGTGGCCCCACAGGGAACTCCACTGCAGGCCCCAGCGGCAGAGTTCGCATGCGTTCCCCCCGCCGATTTCGGCACACCCCTCACGAGGATCGTGGCCCCATGGGGGGGTCCACCGAGAGCGGTTCCCACACCGCGGTATTCACAGATGCATATGGTTGGGTCCTTCGGCCGGATAATTTCGTGTGTCGTTACACATTTGTTCCCCTATTTTTATTTGTCCTTCACAATCCGCCTGTAGAGGGACACGCCCGACCGGTTGCGCTCCACGCGGATTTCTCTGATCGGCGCTTAGGCCCCCCCCCGCGGCGCCTCCAGCGCCGCCCCTGGCGCGCTTCGCGCGCCAGGGAGGGGGTCCAGCGCAGATCCATCCGCGCTGAGCGCGAAAAGGTGCCGTTCCTTCGCCTTCAACTCCTGCGAAAGGAAGATTTCGGAGGGCGCCGACTCGCCAAACCTATCCCCCGACGCCCACGTATGCACCGATCTTGAGCAGACCCATCCTGGGCCCAGGACGAGGTGTACATGCTTCGCCAGCTGGGCCACGGGAGCCCCAGCAACCTACTTTGTTGAACCCAGGGTGTACTCGTCGGAGGAGGAAGAGGTCCCCATACTTTTCCTCTTTTTGGGCCTCCACCGTCGCTTTCCTCTTTTTCCATCTTCCCTCGTTCCACGAAGGGTACCCAGCGCCTTCCCTTTACCGGCGCTTCCAGTCACCCATAACCCATTACCTCCACCTTCCCTCGTTGTCCTCCTTTTGTTGGGCCTCCGGGGCCTCCACCGTCGCCACCGCTGGACTCGCCTCAAAAAAGCCTGGTCGCAACGCATCCCAGGAGAGGTCCGGGGAGTGGCGGTTGTCGGTACAGTGCTGTTTTTAATACATCCTCCGCGCGCGGAGCATGTATTCAAAATACAGGGATTTAGTATTAAAAACAACGATGAGTTCATGCATACATTTATTCATAATTCATGTATCAAAAATCATATGTTCCTTTAAAAAATCACATGTATTAGAACCTGCCCTGTACCTCTTGAATTCCCCCCACTCGGTCAGGCCCCGTGCAGGAAAATGGGGGTGGGTAGCTGGCGACCCGGCGTCCGGGGAGCGGGGCGCTGTCGTGCCAGCTGTTCTCCCTCTCTCCCCCCCAGGGCCTCCTCCTCCTCCTCCTTCTCCTCCTCCTCCTCCCTCCTCCTCTCCTCTCCTCCTCCTCCTCCTCCTCCTCCTCCTCCTCCTCCTCCTCCTCCTCCTCCCCAGGGCCGCATGCCCACGACTCGGAAGAGAATCCTGGAGGTCTCGCGCGGCGCGCAATAGTCGCATTTTCCAGTCGCGTGCCCGCCACGTCGGCTACGGATACGGGGCGACGTTCGCGCAGCGATGTTGTCCGACCCAAGTGCAGCGCGAGTCGGACGTGAGCCCGGCACAAGTCCTTGCGCGAGTCCGTTGTGGATCCGACGGAAATTGGGTCTCGAGTGGCCACGCGACCCCCCCGCGTTTTTGTGTACATATTGATATGTGTATGTATGTGTACATATATGTATATATATATATGTAAATCTGTATGTAGACATGCACAACAAACGAAAGCAAGCAGACAAGTGAAGTTATTATGGCGAAGGACCCAACCATATGCAGTTGTGAGTATCGCAATTTTTGGTATGGGTGGGTTGGGGGCGGGTGTGCCAACATGGGCGCGGTGGTTTCATGCGAGCGCAGCCATTGGGGCCTTTGGTGGAGCTCCCCATGGGGCCACGAAACGTGTGATTGTTGTGCCAGACAGGGTGCGATGGTGTCATGCATCTCAGCCACTGGGGCCTGCGGTGGAGCTCCTTAAGGAGCTACGAGACGTATGAGGGGCTTGCCGCAATGAGCGCGGTGGTGCCATGTGAGCGCAACCGCTGGGGCTTTCGGTGCAGCTCCTTGTGGGGCCACGATCATCGTGAGGGGTGTGCCGAAATGGGCGCGGTGGTGACATGCGAGCGCAGCCGCTGGCGGTGTCTTGCGAGCGCATCCAGTGGCGCGTTCGGTGGAACTCCCTTTGGGGCCACGTGATGAGTGCGGTGGTGTCCTGCGAGCGCAGCCATTGGGGCCCTCGGTAGAGCTCCCTGTGGGGGCCACAAGGCGTGTGAGGGGTGTGCCGAAACTGCAACATGCGAGGAGGGCAGAGGCAAAGAAGGGGGAGGAGGGAGGCGGGGGAGGAGGGCGGGAGGCGACGCGGGGCGCTGCCTCTTTCAAAACGAGGGCCCGACACCACAGGCTGGATGGGACAAGCAATAAGCACGCCGGGTCGCCGAGGACGCGCCCGAGAGCGGGGTCGCCGCCGCCGTGGACCTGCTGCAGCGCAGGTGCGTGGGGCGCCTGGCCGAGGCGCCCGCTCGCGCTGCTCCCCGCCCGCCTCTCCACCCTCCGGCCAGCCTCGGTCGGCTGCTCCGGCTTTTTAAGATCAGGAGGGAAAAAAGCACACAGACACAATGAATCGTCGATACCCGGGAAAATATGGGAAAATATGGTAAGTGGGGGGGAAGACAAAAACTCAGAAAATATAAGAACAGATAGGGAAATTGGTTATTTGTGTGTATTTATTTGTGTGTCCCAGGGCCCCTTCATAAGAACCTGTAGTATCGAGGATCGAAGTTCAGGGTATTGGGCAACAGGCTTGGGAATGCGCCCGCTCCGTGCCCAGCGGCACAGGGCAGTGACATCGCAGAAACGGCACACTTTCTCATCGCCGATACGTTCACGAAGTGTCCGATCCTCCGTGTGCCCGCGCAAACGTCCACCTTGCTTGCGTCGGATGTCTGTCTCATCCGCCGACTCCAGCAGATTTGTCCCGATGTCTTCCCTAGCTTTCCATTCGTCCAGATCTGCCTCCAGATCTTCCTGTGGATCTCCGTCTAGTTCGTCCTCCAGATGTTTCCGAATATATGCCTGGACGTGTTCCCCAGATCTTTCCCGAGATCTTCACCCAGAATTTCATCCAGATCTTCCCGCTGATCCGCCCCCGCCAGTAGTAACTTCCCCCAGATCTTCCTCCAGATGTCTCCCTTGATCTTCCACACGGCTCAATCTTAATTTCGTTTAGTAATTCGTATCAGGAAGTGTTTTTTGAAACATAGATTTGTGAGTTGCCCAGGCGCTTCGCTGGAAATATTGTTTTCAATGTCGCATATGTTCTCGATGTTTCTGTTTTCGTCGAGTTCCGCACTTGATTATTCACCTGAGTGTTTGCTTCCATCTCCGCCACAGTCTTCACCCGCGACATGAGAATATCATATGCGTTGATCAAGTTAGCGTGGGATAGTTGCCCTCTCGCCAGGTTTACGCCATTCGTTGACGTTGGCCTTCAACTCCTTTCCATAGTACAGTCAAATTTTGTGATATGGACGAGTCGCGTTCCAAGGGTGCCTTGCGTCCTTGCCTCTTCAGTCTTTTCGCTGGCTGGCCTCTCAGGATACGCTGTGGGCTGGCAGCGTCCTTAGATTGCGCTGCGTGACGCCCCCATTCGACAAGGTCGGGCTCGATTAGGGTACCGTTGCGTTCCTGGAATTGTTTCCGCGCGCCGCGAACGCATTTCAACCTGGGCGTCCTAGGCTCTTGCGTCCTTACCCCGCGTCCGTATTAGCGTTGTTGCCTGAAAGTCTCAAGTAATATATGTTTTGAGTGCAGGTTTCACAACACTAGTCGACGTCTCGCGGGCCAGGTCATCCCCATCTCTTTCGTCCGTCTACATTCCATCGGTGGCGCCATAGGCTGCGCGGCACATGATATCTGTATCCCACCAGTTGCGCCATATGTTTCACACCATCGATTGCGCCAGCCCCCTTGCATGCGATACCTCGTATCCCGTATGGCGTCACTCAGGATGCCACGGGGGGTATGCAATCAGTTGACATGTCCCCGCGCCCGCGCTCACCGTCAAACTTGTTTTGATTAGGATCCGCAGTTCACTTACTTCCTAGTTCACCTTAGGCGATGCTTAAGAAAACTTAAGTTTTCGGCCAGAGTCTCGATTATTCTTAACGTTACAGTGCAAATCCTAAGATTTGAATGGAGTTCCTGTCTTTATATCAAATTCGGAGACGATGAATTTCTTAACCCATGATTTCTTAAGCATGTCGCAGGGTGTTGTGATGATCAGGTCGCGCCGTTCATTGACGCCATGGGTTGTTCTGGTCGCGCCGACAGTCGACCCCCCGGCAGAGCGGAGCTCCGTCCCACGCCTTCTTTGAGTTTCACACGTCGGATCGGCGGATATCCGAGGGCGGCCTTTGGCTACTCTTGCTGACAGCATCTCTGGTTGACCCCCTCGCCACAGAGCACGGCTATTTTTCTATACATATATATATATATGTTTATTTATTTATTTATTTATACATATATACGTTGGCAATCCCCGCATCGGCGGTGCCACGGGCGGCTCGCGGCACGTGAGGTTTGGCCCTCCTCCCCACGCAGGCTCGGCAGGACCTCGTCGGCTTCTTGCAGGCGGTGCCACGCCACCATGCAGGCGGGCCACCAGTAGGTTGAGATATTCCTCCACAGGGCAGTCATCCGCCAGAGACGAGCAGCGAGGAGTGAGAGGAGGCGGCAGGTGGCGGAGGAGGGAAGGAGGAGCAGGAGGACGAAAAGGAACGCACCAGTCAGTAGGAAGGGGGAGCAGGAGGAAGAGGAGGAGGAAGAGGAGGAGGAGGAGGAGGAGGAGGAGAACCACAATGACGAGAGCAAGGACTTGCAGAGGAGTAGGAGTCAGGAGGGGAGCCAGACGTGGCAACGCGCCTGCGCCAGACGACCACGCCCTCTCGGACGCGCACTCCCTGCCTGTGCCGCGGCGCTCCGCCAACGGCTACACCCTTCTGCTTACCAGCCTGGAGCATATCCCTATCCCTAAGCTGGCCATCGCCTCCGAAGAGTGCCCCAAGACGGCCCAGGAGGCTCCCCAGACAACCCAAGTGTACCCCAAGAGCGCCCTAAGAGGGGGCTCCCAGAGTGGGACCGCGAACCGATATTTCGAGGTCTCTGGCCGTAGAGGCCCCCCGGAGGCCACCATGAGGCTCCCACGAAGCTCCGTGAGGCGCCCAGGGGCCCCAAGGGGCCCGCAGGGAACGCCCAAGAGGCCCCCAAGGGCCCCGCAGGGAACGCCCAGGAGGCCCCCCAACACACCCCAACACATGCCCCCAGAAAGCCTTCCGTGGGCATTGGTTCATCATGGGCCCGAAAGTCTCCGGGTTCTCCGAAGTACCAGCACGCCACCAGAGAGCTGTCTGGGAAGTTGACTGGACACATGACTGATCGCCTTCTCGCGGCCCTCCGTGGATCGACGACGACGACGACGACGAAGACGACGAAATGACGAAGACGAGGACGAGGACGACGACGACGATGACGACGGCACGCACCAACAGGCTCCCCAAGACGCCCCCAAACCCATGTTCCCAGAAGGCCTTCTAGGAACCCCATTCATCCCGCCCCCGCCCTTTACGCAACCGTCTTCCGGAAAGCCTTCCGGAATGCGGATGGACATGCGTGGCTTTCTCATTGCCCATAATGCGTTCAGCGTTATGGACATTCCTTCACTTCTCATTCAAACCACTTGTTGTCCACTACTTCAGTGGAGCAGTGACCTCGTCAAGATCTTGGGCCTGCTAGAACCTGAGCACGCGCGATGGTTCCAGACTATATATAGAGGTGCCTCTCTCATATGGAAACATTTGAATATATGAACGTATACACACATACATATATATACATATATATATATATGAAAGAGCGTGCTCTACCGCTGCTGGCGGAAAACCGGGGGGGGTCACTGCCGGTTCGAACCCCTCCCCCCCCCCCCCCCTCTCCGAAAAACCGAGGGGGGTCACTACCGGTTCAAACCCCTCCCCCCCCCCCCCCCCCTGCTCATCATGAAAAGGGGGGGGGGTCACTACCGGTTCGAACCCCTTCCCCCCCCCCTCCGGATCCGGAAAACCGGGGGGGTCACTACCGGTTCGAACCCCCCCCCCCTCGAAAACCGAGTGGGGGTGCGGACAGTGGTGGGGACGGTGTTGGTGGGGACAGTGGTGAGGGGATAGCGGGACAGTGGTGGGGACAGTGGGACAGTGGGACAGTGGTGGGGACGGTAGTGGTGGGGACAGTGGTGGGGACAATGGTGGGAACAGGGGGGGACAGTGGACAGTGGTGGTGACGGTGGTGGTGGGGACAGTGGTGTGGGGACAATGGGAATGAGGTGGAAACAGTGGGACAGTGGAGGGTACAATGGTGGTGGGGACAGTGGTGAAGGCGGTGGCGAGGACGGCGGTGGGACAATGGGACAGAGGTACAGTGGGGACAGTGGTGGGGACAGTGGGGACAGTGGTGGGAACAGTGGGACAGCTCAGTGGGACAGCGGAGGAGTCAGTGGGACAGTGGGGACAGTGGGGATAGTCGGGCAGTGGTTGGGGCCGTGGAGACAGTGGGGAGAGTGGAACCGTGGTGGGAACAGTTCTGGGGACAGCGGGGACAGTGCGACAGTGGTGGGGCCACTGGTGGGGACAGTAGGGGCGGTGGTGGAACCAGTGGGGACAGCGGTGGTGAGGACAGTGGTGCTGGGAACACCAGTGGGGGATGTGATGCGGACGGTGGTGGGGACCGGGAGTCGTTTGCTGGCGGTGAGTAGGGGGGGGGGGGAAAGGGGAAGGGGGGGTGCGAACCGGTAGTGTAGTGACCTCCCCCGGTTTTCCGGATCCGGAGGGGGGGGGGGGCGGGGGGGGGAGGGGTTCGAACTTAGTGGACCCCCCCGAGTTTTCGAGCGGGAGGGGGGGGGGGGGGGGGGGGAGGGGTTAGGGGAGGGGGAGGTTTTGCCGGGGGAGGGGGGGGGGGGGGAGGGGGTCCAGCAGGGGGGGGGGGATTTTCGGAGGGGGGGGGGGGGGCGGACCCCCGGGCTCGGAGGAAAAGGTTGGCAATTTTTCCACAGTAAGCGGCGGGATTCACTCTTCTCTCATAATATATATTATATATTTATATATAATGTATACACATATATGTAGATAGGTGTGTGTGTCTCTCTCTCTCTCTCTCTCTCTCTCTCTCTCTTTCTCTCGAAGTAGGCTGGGGGAGGGCCCAGAACTGCGACCTCTGGTTCGCATGGGGGGCCAGTGGGGCCTTGAGGTCTCGAAGAGGGTACAGAAGGGGCCCCGGACCCCCCCAGAGGCTCCCAAGCTGGCCCAAGAGGCGCCCCAAGAGTCCCAGGTTGTCTGGAAGGTGTCTGAAAAGCGCACTGAGATGGCTTCCAGACGAGCCACGAGCGCGCGAAGACAGCCCAAGATTGCTCCTAGACGGCCACAAGGGCACTCAAGACGGTCCAAGAGGCCGCCGAGAAGGCCCTCCAAGGGCAAGAAATCAAGCGCTTCTATGGAAAAACGTATGATTCTTGGACATTTGCTTTTCAGTCCCACCAGCGGCCGCGACGGCCCCAGAGGCTCCCAAAATGAGCTCCAGACGGCCCAAGAGGCCCCCAAGAGGGCCCCCAGACGGCCTGAAGAGAGTTTCAAGCAGCACAAGAGAGCTCCAACACGGCCCAAGAGAGTGCCCAGGAACGCCGAGGGGGCCACCAGAGGATCCCTGCATGGTTGGAAAGGGCCCCCAGAGGGCCCCAAGACGGGCTCAGGTCCACATGACGGGCGAAGAGGGGCCCGGAACGGCCGAATTGGGGTCCCAGAGGGTTCAAAATAACATTAGCCTGGCGAAGGACCCAACCATATGCAACTGCGAGTACCGCACGGATATGAGACGAAGGAGGGGGCACGCAAACTAGGCCCCTCTTCTCATAGGCACCGCGCCACTGGGGCCTTCGGTGGAGCTCCCTATGGGGCCACGAAACGTGTGAGGGGTGTGCCGACATAGGTGGTGGGGAGGCATGCGAACGCAGGTGTGCCGAAATGGGTGGTGGGGAGGCATGCGAACGCAGCCACTGGGGCCTTCGGTGGAACTCCCGGGCCACGAAACGTGTGAAGGGGTGTGCCGAAATGGGTGGTGGGGAGGCATGCGAACGCAGCCACTGGGGCCTTCGGTGGAGCTCCCTATGGGGCCACGAAACGTGTGAGGGGTGTGCCGAAATGGGTGGTGGGGAGGCATGCGAACGCAGCACTGGGGCCTTCGGTGGAGCTCCCTATGGGGCCACGAAACGTGCGAAATGGGGGTGTGCCGCTTGGGGCCTTCGGTGGAGCTCCCTATGGGGCCACGAAACGTGTGAGGGGTGTGCCGAAATGGGGTGGAAGGCATGCGAACGCAGCCAGGGGCCTTCGGTGGAGCTCCCTATGGGGCCACGAAACGTGTGAGGGGTGTGCCGAAATGGGTGGTGGGGAGGCATGCGGACCCTGCCACTGGGGCCTTCGGTGGAGCTCCCTATGGGGCCACGAAACGTGTGAGGGGTGTGCCGAAATGGGTGGTGGGGAGGCATGCGAACGCAGCCACTGGGGCCTTCGGTGGAGCTCCCTATGGGGCCACGAAACGTGTGAGGGGTGTGCCGAAATGGTGTGGGGAGCAATGGGTGGTGGATGGGGCCACGAAACGTGTGAGGGGTGCATGCGGCATGCGAACGCAGCCACTGGGGCCTTCGGTGGAGCTCCCTATGGGGCCACGAAACGTGTGAGGGGTGTGCCGAAATGGGTGGTGGGGAGGCATGCGAACCCTGCCACTGGGGCCTTCGGTGGAGCTCCCTATGGGGCCACGAAACGTGTGAGGGGTGTGCCGAAATGGGTGGTGGGGAGGCATGCGAACGCAGCCACTGGGCCTTCGGTGGAGCTCCCTATGGGGCCACGAAACGTGTGAGGGGTGTGCCGAAATGGGTGGTGGGGAGGCATGCGAACGCAGGAGGGAGGAGGGCGAGGAGAAGGAGGAGGAGGAGAAGGAGGAGAAGGAGGAGGAACGCGGGGACCGTTTCTTCAAAACGAGGACCCAACACCACAGGATGGTTGGGAAAAAGGCTTACCCGGATTCCCTGAAGGCGGTCCAGGAGGCCGCTGAGATACATGGTCCACGAGGCCCCCAAGAGGGCTCCATGACAGCCTCAAGAGAGCGTCGAGCAGCACAAGAGAACTCCAAAACAGCCTGAGAGAGTCCCCAGGGAGCCCGAGGGAACCACGGGAGGATCCCTACATGGTCGGAGAGGGCTCCATGAGGGCCCCAAGACGGCTTAGCTACCCATGACATGCCATGAGGGGCTTGGGACAGCCGAAATGAGCTCCCAGACGGGCCACAAAAGGGGCCAAAAGGACCCCCCCACGAGTGTCAAAGAGGCCGCTGAGAAGGCCCCCCAAAGCCAAACGTCAACAATTCCCGATGGAAAAGCGTATATTTCTGGGAGCTTAGCTTTTCAGTTCTACCAGCAGTCGCGACGGCCCAAGAGGTTACCAAAATGGGCCCCAGAGGGCCCCTGAGGCCCCGAGGAGGTTTCCAAGATGGGCTTAAGAGAGCTTCAAGCGGCACAGAAGAGCTACAAGACGGCCCAAGAGAGCCCCCAGGAAGCCCGAGGGAGCCACCAGAGGATTCCTGCATGGTCGGAGAGGGGCGGGCTGAGCTCCCCACGACGGGCCAAGAGGGACCCGGAACGGCCGAAACGGGCCCTCAGACGGGCCGACAAAGGCCCCAAAGGACTCCAAAGGAAGGCCCGGAGAGGCTCCAGAGACTGCCACAATGCTTTCAAAAAGGCTCCCAGCACGCGTTCGAGAAGGCACCCGTGTACTGGGTGCGTTGAGAGAAAAGAGGAGGAGGAGGACAAAGAGGAGGAGGAGGAGGAGGAGGAGGAGGAGGAGGAGGAGGGGGAGGAGGAGGAGGTGAAGTGGGAGAGGAGGAGGAGGAGGAGGAGGAGGAGGAGGACGAGGACGAGGA